AGGCCAGGACTGTTGAAACGCTCCGAACCTCAGGCCAAACCAGCGAGATGGGGAGGGAAAGGAAGAGGGCTGGGATGACCCTGGGGTTTGGCCAGCATGCGGCAGCGCTGGGACTGGAGCCGGGTCGCCTGCAGCCAGGGCTGCCCCTTCACAGTCGTGGCTGCACGGCGGGTCTTGGTCTCTGAGCTGTGACTCAGGGCTCTGTGCGTTCACCCCTGAGCATCCAGATTTCTGGGTTTTCTACCAGTGTCTCATTTTCTATAATTTACCCTAACATGTTACCAAAACCTCCTTATTTGTACATGAGCCTGGTATATGTTCCTGAATTTCAAATTCAAGTACAAGTTCTCATTTAAAAATTACTGATCATGGTTGTTTTCAGAGAATTCTCATTACAAATGAAAAGAAATGTTCCCTTCTAAAGTTCATACGGTCCAGAATCCAGCTGGTAGACAATGGATTTCACAATATTCCCATCTAAAATTCTTTCTTGTAGCTCTGTTCATAAATATCTCTGGCTGAGCTCCCGTAATTTACAAGACTGGCTACAAAACCACTGATTGAATCACAGCCCTTGTTACTGAATAGAGGTCAAAGTATTAGTTCTAAATAATGCAAGTTGGTATGTTACTCGGAAATTCCAGGAAAAGCTTTTTTCCGTGATTTTCAGTTTCGTTCCAGGCAACAGACAATCACGTTGTTCATAGAATACTAAGTCACTGGTCTTTTAAGAAGCATGTTGCCCCAATCAGAAACTCAGATACACATGTATTTTACTGGATCCTGAAACTTACATAAAGCTTTAAGTGCACACTTTTTAGTGTTGTAAAAATTTGAACAAGTTCTTGTTAGAGTAACATGGTGGTATGTAGTGATGAATTGTTGGTATAGATATTAGTATGGCAGAAAGACAGATACAAAATTCACATCCATATAAACTTGAATAATTGTGCAAATCACAGTTCTTACTCCCAAAGAGTTAAGCAGTCTTGTTCTGAAGGTAGCCACATGAACCTGTTAAAATGATAAATATAAATATATATCATCAGAATACGCTTTGGTAAAGCTGTTTGGTGAGCTGCCTGGGCTTGCCGGGTGGCTCAGTGGTAAAGAAACCGCCTGCCAATGTAGGAGGAACAGGTTTGATCTCTGGGCCAGGAAGATCCCCTGGAGGAGGAAACGGCAACCCACTCCAGTACTTTTGCCTGGGAAGTCCCAGGGACAGAGGAGCCTGGTGGGCTACAGTCCATGGGGTCACAGAGAGTTGGACATGACTGAGGAACTGAACAACTGGAACCCACAGAGTAAGGGTTTAATTCACTTTAGGGAATTAGCAATGGCTTCTTAAAGGTGGCACCTGCAGATACTCTTAAAGTGTTAGACCAAGGAAGGTTTAGGTTTTTCTAAACCTGTTTTTACTGAGTTTCCACTATTACATCGAACCATCCTTCCAGCCATATTGTTATCCTTAGTGTAGGATAAATGGTCATCTTGGTTTGCAAAGAACTTTACAGTTTCACCTCAGAGAGTCCCACAGCCTGGAGGACCCCCCATCCGGGGGCCAACGGACAGCTTCCTGCACCTGTGCTAGACCCCCCTGGAACAGGCCATTGCCATGTCACCACCTTGAATTTATCATGGATCCTGCCCACCTCCCACAGGCCAGCAGAGATTGATGTACATGTCCTCATCTCTTATTTTATAGATGGTGCTGAAGCAAGGATGACAGAAATGGCTTTACTCAAGATTCAGGCGACAGTTTAGACCTAGACCTGGCCCTCAGTCCTCCATGGAACATTCTCAAACCACCCAACATGAAAGCAAGGCTTCCCTGCACCCATTGAGCCCTTAGGATCAGCTTCACCCTTGGGTCCTTGGTTATAGAAGGTCTCATAGCGCCCTCTGGTTGTCCTGTCAAGACACCGTCTTTGTCCAGCCAGATTACAAGGCGGGGATACTGTCTGCTCTTCTGTGTCCAGGGCAGCTCATAACAGGACTTTTATTATTACCTACTGTGCAGTCAGTGCCTATGATTGGACATGGCAGTAGGCATAACTTGTCTGCTTCATTTCAAGACTGTGAGAAGTAGCAACAGCCACAATGCCTGTCCCTCCCAGAGTAGGTGAGGATGGGTGGGCAATGCTGGGTGTTAGGTTCATTCTGCGGCTGGTGATAGATTTTGTATCCAGCCTTGGTGCCAGGATGAGTTGGGATGTTGCTGATATGGTTGATTCAGATGCAGCCCCCAGCTCTTTAGGCCCCTCACCTCTATGAACAGTAGACCTCAGAGGGCATCTTCTGATGAAGGGAGCTGGCTAAGTGGACCTCAGAGAGGCTCCCGGGTCTGCATCTGTGGAGCCTCCCTGGTCCCAGATGGAATCAACCCTTTAACTATGATTCTCCCTGGGAATCCCCCTCAGTGGGCACAAGCTAGGGGCAAAGGAAGAAGAACCTGTCAGAATCTGGAGTGGAGGAGCAGAGGAGATCTCTGCATGAGGTCGGATTTTTTTCTGCATGTGAGAGGGTTTTGCCAGATTGGGACCCGACCTCACGGTCTGTATACACCTTGCTCCTTCTCTTCTAACTTTAACATTGTCTTCAGAATATTTTTGCAACCCCTGGACTATACAGTCCATGGAATTCTCCAGGCCAGAATACTGGAGTGGGTAGCTTTTCCCTTCTCCAGGGGATCTTTCCAACCCAGGGATCGAACCCAGGTCTCCCACATTGCAGGCAGATTCTTTACCAGCTGAGCCATAGGGGAAGCCCCTCAGAATATTGGTCTTGACTGGTGTCATGAGGACTTCCAGGACCTAACAAGTCAGGGTTATCTCACTGTGGACAATGACTGCAGCCATAAAACCAAGATGCTTGCTTGCTCCTTGGAAGAAAAGTTATGACAAACCAAGACAGACAAACCAATATGTTTCTGCATATTAAAAAGCAGAAACATCAAAAAAAATAAAAAAATAAAAAGCAGAAACATCACTTTGCCAACAAAGGCTCATATAGTCAAGGCTATGGTTTTTCCAGTAGTCATGTACAGATGTGAGAGCTGGACCATAAAGAAAGCTGAGTGCCGAAGAATTGATGCTTTTGAACTGTGGTGTTGGAGAAGACTCTTGAGAGTCCCTTGGACTGCAAGGAGAGCCAACCAGTCCATCCTAAAGGAGATCAGTCCTGAATATTCATCGGAAGGACTGATACTGAAGCTGAAACTCCAATACTTTGGCCACCTGATGGGAAGAACTGACTCATTTGAAAAGACCCTGATGCTGGGAAAGATTGAAGGTGGGAGGAGAAGGGAATGACAGAGGATGAGGTGGCTGGATGGCATCACCGACTCGATGGACATGAGTTTGAGTAGGCTCTGGGTGATGGTGAAGGACAGGGAAGCCTGGCACGCTGCAGCCTATGAGGTTGTAAAGAGTTGGACATGACTGAGCGACTGAACAACAGCAACAATTGACAGACCGTGCTCAGATCTTAGGGCTGGCTCTGGGACGGACAAGCCTTGGGCCTGGGCTGCGACAGAATGTGAGGGAGGTGCTTAGGGTTGCCAGCGCCTCTTAAATCATCCTGGAGAGAGAGAGCCACTTACTTCTGGACAGGCCTCCACTGGTTCTATCACAGGAGTAAGCTCCAGGAGATGGTGAGGGACAGGGAAGCCTGGCGTGCTGCAATCCATGGGGTTGCCAAGAGCTGGACACAACTGAGTGACTGAACAATGTCATGAGGCATTGAACCTGGAGTTGGACACCTGTGTTCAAATCCTAACTTGAAGCAGTGGAGAAGAGCATAGCCTTTGGGGTGGGAGAGCTGTGGGACCCTCAGGTGACTTACCTAACCTGCCCAGGTGTCCATCTGACTGTCTATAAAACAGGGATAGTCCTGTTGACCTCGTAGGTTTGCCAGTACCACATTGTTTCTGAAGCACCTCGCGCTGGGGTCTGACATGCACGCACTTGGTAAAATGATGATGAGCACCCTCCTTGATTCCATCACTGATCCTTCACTGAGAGCAGGGGAGCCATGCTCCCTCGCTGGGAAGGCCAGGCTGGCCTGATGGGCAGAGGCCATGGGAACCGCGTGTTCACTGGGGGAGAGCACAGACACTGTGCTATTGGTTTGATGTGAATTTGTGTGTCTGGATTTCTCATAGTTCAGTATTACCTTCAGTTCTCTGTACTCCCCCAGCCAGTTAGCATCTTTGGTCCGAGGCCCCTCTAATGTGGTTTCCTTCCCAGAGCCTGACCTCAGGCCAAGTCAGCTTGGTCCCTCTTGCCCTGATGGCCCCCGGGGTGTTTTGCATCTTTGTCATTACAGTTTGGGGTATTTCATAGACAATACGCAGCTCATTGTCTTGACATCACAGCTCCTTGCTTGAGGCCTCCTGTGTACTGAGCACTCGCCTCCTATGAGCTGCATTAAATTGAACTTGGTTCAAGTTTCCCTGTGACATTTTGGAATTGTTGGATTGTGTGTGTGTGTGAGAGATAATTGATGATGTCTTCTATTTTGAATAAGAAGATACAATCTTGAACTACGCCTTGGCTTTTTCATTCTAGCAGTTTTTCAAAAGTTTTCTTGAAACAAATGTAGGTGGATTTCAGTTTACCATCATAAGGAATGCACAACCCATAGGCAAAATTTGCATTCTTCCCATTTCATTTATGAATTAAGAGGAAAAAATAACATTTTATTAATAGTGTAATTGAAAATAGTTTTTATGTGATCGGCAGGTCTGGTTTTCTGTTAGCAACTCCTAAACAAAATAGCTAAGCCTCCGCTGATGGAGGTTCTTCTTGGACTGACGGGGCTAACTCCCTGCTTTGTTTCCGCTGCAGGCGGTGACTGCGGAGCCCAATGTGCACGGCGGGCGGGAAGGCCAGGCTGGAGGCCCTGAGGAAGAAGGCCTGCGCGTGGGGCCGGGGGACATCGAGGCGCGCGTGGGTCTGAGCCGCGCTAACCTGCGCCTGCGGGCCCCCGGCCCAGAGAACATGACCACGGCGCAGAACGGCCACGGGTGCGGAGCTACGGTCCCTGGTTCCATCTCTGACCCCAAGGACCCTGGCATGGGAACCCACCCGGCGTGCCGCAACGGCGGCTGCAGCAGCGGCGGCACGGGCGCCCGGGAGGCGCGGCTCAGCCCGGCCCGCATCCTGCGCCTCTTCTCTGCCGGCCCGGGCAGGACGCGCGCCGACCGCGAGCGGCCTCGGCCCGCCGGCCTCGTGGGCAGCTCCTCCACGTGGAACGCCCTGGCCTCCTTCCGGAAAATGGGCTCTTTCAAAAAACTCAAGTCCTCGGTCCTCCAGGGCATTCAAAACCGGGAGGGGTGGGATGCTGCGAAAGAAGGAACTTCGGATCGAGACCCGGGCAAGTCCATCCCCAACGGCGCGGCGGCAGGGGCCCCTGCGGGCAGGTGCGCCCTGGGGCCCGGCTTCGCCTCCGACGGCTCAGACCCGGAGGAGCCGGACGACGGCTTCGCGCGCGGCGCCCTCCGGTCGCGGAGCCTCCGTCGTGCCTACGGCCTGGGGCGCATCCGCCTCCTCGATCCGGAGCCCCCCGGGCCTGTGGCATGTGAGGCCCCAGAGCCCCCAGCGCGCGAGCCCGAGCGGAACGGTGTCTGCCGGCGCAGCAAGAGCACGGACAGCCTGACCTTCCTCGGTAAGAGCTCCTTCCGAAGGAAGTCCGCCTCGCACCTGGCCGAGCTGCGCAGCGCGCAGGAGGGCCGGGGGCCCCGCAGGACGCTGAGCGGCTCGTCCGCCGACTCCGACAGCTCAGGTGGGGCCCCCACGAGGCCCAGGCGCTGGAGGAGCCCGCTGCGGGTGCCGGACCTGGCCCGGGTGCTGCGGCTCTCAGCGGGTGGCACGGCCGGCCGGACCGGGGACCCCGGGAGCGCAGCGTCCGGGCCGCGGCCGCTCAGCCGGCTGCACGATGACTACTCCCGCCGCGCGGCTGCCGGCCCCGAGGGGCGTGGACGGGGGCGCGCGGAGCCCCGAGACCCAGGCCCAGGGGGTGCAGGCGGACCGCCCAGGGCAGCGGTCCCAGTAGGTGCCGCTCCTCGTACCCAGGGCTCTCCGTCCAGCCCACCGGCCCGGGAGATGACGGGCAGAGGCTCCGACGAACCGGGACCTGGCGGCCGGTTTCCCTCGGAGCCTGAGCACCCTCTCGGGCCCCCGAGGCCCACCACGCCCAAGCCCCCCAGCCCTCGGAGCCCCGACGCAGCGAGTGCCAGGTGTCCCAACAGTGTCAGCGCGCTGTCGCTGAGCTCAGCGGACAGCGAGGATAGGGCCGAGGGGCCCCCCCAGAGGGAGCAAAGTTCTGGGTGCTCTCGGGAGGCCGTGCCAGCCACCTGTGACCAGGGCAAGGAGGACAGCGGCGCCGGCGGCCACGCTCAGCCCAGCCTTGGAGGGGCGGACGGTCCAGAAGACAAGACAGAAGAGGTAAGGATCCTTGGTGGCCTGCCAAGCATGACAGGTGCCTGTCGGCGCCACCCTCCTCCCACTGAGATGGGCAGAGGTGGTCCCTTCACCTGCCTGGAGGCAGTGCCCGAGCTGTGTTGCTCTCAGGAGTCGTCTTCTTCGGTTGCTGTTTCTCAGGTTAAGAAGTGATTTCTCTCTTTGTTGTGAACTGTATCGCTGTTGTGCGAAGCTCCTGGAGGTGGCATTTATACCACACAGTTCCTCCAGGAGAGATGAGCCCAGCTCTGAGCTAGATTTGGGAGAAAAGTTGCAGGCATGTCTCTTGTACTCCATGCAGCTAATAGGGGCTGTCAAAATTCTAATCTTTGAGACATTATTATTATTATGAGCTTCCTTCTCCTTCTGCTTTAAACTGTTTCCATGTCCTTTTCAACAGAGTTCATGTGAATGAGATTCTTTGTTAAGAGGCCATTACATGTTCTAAGTTGGCTTCATTTCCCAAGAGTGAATTAGAAATGTGCACTGTTATACCTGTCAACCCTGAGTGATGATAGCTCAGAGAAATTTTTATGATGGTTATTGTACTTATTTTTAGAGTAGAACACAAGCATCTCATGAATCAAATTCACTAATAACTGTCAAGGCTCCAAGAGCAATGTTCTTTTCATTTCCTGTCAAGGATCCAGGCAGCCTTACTGTCTAATTTCTACTCTATAAATGCATTCAGTAACGTTCCCTTACAGAGCTGAGAGCAAAGGAGATGCATGCTTGTGTCTGTATTGCAAAGGATTCTTCCCATAAGATCCTAGACTGTGTGGTTGTTGTTATTCAGTCACTCAGTTGTGTCCAACTCTTTGCGACCCCATGGACTGTAGCCCACCAGGCTCCTCTGTTCATGGGATTCTCCAGGCAAAAGTACTGGAGTGGGCTGACATTTCCTCCTCCAAAGGATCTTCCCTATCCAGGGATCGAACCTGTGCCTGCAGTATTGGCAGGCGGGTTCTTTACCACTGAGCCACCAGGGAATCTAGACTATATCACAAGTATAAATCGTGCCAGCAGCGGTTCCTTCCCACTGGCCCCCAGAGAGGACCTCAGTTTTGCCTTCATGCCTGCAGAGAGCATGATGATGCAGCAAACTCAGAATCCAGGGCAGCCTCTGGACTGTTTTGTAAATGCTGCGTTATAGGGAGCCTTAGAAAGGGAGCCTACCACAGATCGCTTTCAGGAGATCTAAGTCGCCTCATGGGTCCCTGGGTAGCCAGAGGGCGAGACTACCTCACTTTTTCTGGATTCAGGCTTGCATGGAGACCTCGGGGCCAATCTGTCTTCCAGAGGTCCTGTTTGTTGATGACCACTTGCTCATTTGCATATTCCTAAAAGGACTCCGTGGAGCATTTATAAAGAAATGGGAGTCAGTGCCAGCCAAGGGAAAAGTCCTGCCTCTGCCATGGGTTGTGTTATTCATCAAGGCCTGAGCCAGTCTGGGCTTCACTTCTGCCTGGATAATGAGATGACCAGTGATTCCTTACACCAAGCAGCCTTTCCTGCCATACTGAGAATTTTAGGACACCTCCCTCCTCCTCAAAAGAGGGATTTCCTGTGGTCAAGAGGGTTCTTTGTGTTAAAGGTGAGGATTTAATTTTCTGTTTAACAAAATTAATAATAATTTTAAAAAGCCATTAAAGTATTTTATTCCTGAGCACATGTTAATTAAATATATTCAAGAGTTAGTTTCTAACTTAGTTACTTCCCAGGGTAATTTTTGACTGTTATACAATTTCACATTTATATTTGCTGTTCTTAGTTTATGTCACTTAATTTCCACCCACAAGAAATCACTGAAGAGAGAAAGCAGGACATGAGTAGTTAATAGTACATGCATGTTGATAATGCTACAGATTTTCTTTAAGATGTTTATTACATTTTTAGATGCATTCATTTCTGCAAAATTCTCATGTAGCACGTCAAACTTCCTCTTATGTGTGCTTGTTAAAGTAAATGTCGAATAGAGAAAAAACTGATTTTGCCCAATTTATGTTGTGTATGCTGGTAATCTTCAGTGTTACTTGCAGAGAAGTACTTGTAAAATATAACATGAAACCTTCTCTTTTATTTTGTCATTTAGAAGCAAAGTACAAACAAAACAAACCAGAGAGCACCTTGCTTTAAAATGGAGCAATTCCAATCTTTCTGGGTTAGAAGCAGTATTTGTCAATCTTATATAGCCACAATAAAACTAAATATCAGCCTTTACTATGTTTTAATATACACTGTGTTATTTTTTTAGTTTATCAATAGTATGGTTCCACTTGTGGGCTTCCCAAGTGGAGCTAGTAGTCAAAAACCCGCCTGCCAGTGCAGGAGACACAAGACATGTGGGTTCGATCCCTGGGTCCAGAAGATCCCCTGGAGGAGGGTATGGCAACCCACTCCAGTGTTCTTGCCTGGAGAATCCCATGGACAGAGGAGCCTGGAGGGCTACAGTCCATGGGGTAACCAAGAGTTGGACATGACTGAAGCAACTTAGTACGTACGTAGTATGTGTGATTCCACTTACACATTTAAAGCTAGCTTGAGCTATGGTTATTGTTGAATTTTAAAAGATTGTAAGCTGTACATTTTATGATATTTAAAATGCTTATTGTCATGCAGTTTTAAATAAAGGAGAATAACTTTTTAACTTAGAATCATTTAGAAATAAAAGTGGCAATCTTCGAAAAACTGCACACAATGAAACAAGACTGTGTGTCCCCAAATCACCTCCATAGCATTGTATTCCTGCCACCTAGTGGTAAACGTTGTCTAACAACGATGACGTGGGGAATGAAACTGAAATTGTTACTTGGTTGAAAAATGCAGTTGAGCGTTTATGCCTGTTCCTTATAAGGGAGCAGGCACAGGGCGTAGTGTGGTTGCCGGTGTCCCTGCGGAATCACCCAGTAGCTCCCTGGCTGAGTTAGGGGCCCTGTCCTTGGTCCTGCAGAAAGGATGCCCGGGTTCCTGGTGGTGCTGAGTGTGCCGCAGATGAACTCTTTCAGGTGATGAGAATCCATTGTAACGCCTTTACATGGAGCTTCAGACTTTTAGTTTGCCGTTTGAAAGATGCCCAGCATTGGGCAGACCCTTAAACACCTCAAGGGTGGAGCACGGGAGAGCTCCCTCTGTCTTGGAGGTCTGTAAGAACCAAGGAAATTATGTGGTAAACGCTCGGTTCAGTGTTTCCCAGCGGCCGTCGCGATCTGCTATTCACTTTCCTTTTGTGATTTCCCATCCTCGATTGACCTGACTCCTTCAGACAGGGGCCAGGTAAGGTCAGTGTTTTCTAGAACTGATTTTGACACCCACCGTGTTTCACCCTTATGGATCAAATTGCCGAGTCCCCATCAGGTTCCAGACACTCAGATGAAGCTCTGAGGAACAGTGGGTGACGTCGGGGAGACGATCAATGACCTAAGATGTATCTAAGTCATAGTAGAATACGCTGAGTGAGTTAGACCCCACAAAAGGGGTAAAACCATGATGCTGAGGGAGTTCACAAGGGTTGCAGTTCTTACCCACACACCAAATCCAGGCAGACTTAATAGGGGTGATCACATCTGGTTTGAAGAAGGTGAGATTTGAAGAAGGTGGTAGTTATGGAGTGGAAGTAGAACAGTTCAGTGGTCAGAGGCACAGAGGTTTTATGTGATTTCACAGAACAGGACACAATAGTTTGATTTGGTGTCCTGGGGAACTGTACTGGTCAAGCTGAAATCATTAGGTTCAGACTGTGGATTCTTTGATTCCATATAAAGAATCTGTATGTTACTTGATAAGCATTGAGGGATCAGAAATGTCTTTGAATAGAGAAGGGCCAAGCTCAGAACTGTGTGTTTGAAAAGTTAATCCACCGTCTCTAAAAAAAGAGAACTGGGGAGAAAGATGACCAGGGAGAAGGCTATTGGAATTTATTGCCACAGAGATCTCAGAGGTAACAGAGCTCTGAAGCGTTGGGAGGAAATCCAGCACGTGAGGAAGGACGGAGAGTGAAGCAACAGACGCAACAACAAAGACCCAGCGCAGCTGAACATAACTAAACACATAAATATTTTTTAAAAAAGATACCACAGTGCCTGAAATATACTGATAATACCTTAAGATTGCTTAGCTTATTAATATCTTTATTATTAATATCATTAACATATATTGTTTTAATATGCATATATTTTATATGTTTTATATTTTAAACATAATATTGTAGTATTAAGATCATTAGCATGTAGCATTTATTTTATATATTTTATACATTATAAATAGAAATTTTGTTTTATTTTGTCATATTATTTACCATATAATTAAAACTATAGTATTATTTATTATTGATATTATTACTACTAATAACAAAGCATAAATATTAGCTGTTATCAGATTCATTGTTAGTTAAAATTGCCACCTTCAGTCAGGCCTTTCAGTACAGACCAGTTAAACTCTGCAAATCACTTTCCACCTTCCAGCCAGTTTCTCTGTGTCTGGAATGGGCCCAGCCAGGATGTACAGAAGGGCATAGACCCTGAGCCTCAGCTGGAGCTTGTGCCTCAGAGCCGTGACCGGGACCTGGAACAGGGCCCGCAGGGGAACAGGTCAGGCACTGAGTGTGGACCCCTGCTGTCTCAGCCAGGCTTGTCATGGTCCTGATGTCCTGTAGGTTAGGTTTGGGCGTTTCTCTTCCAGTTAGCTCTGTCCAGCTAACTCCTGGTTCAGGAAGGAGAGGCATTAACTCCTGAAAGAGTTAAACATAACTTGTAACTCTGGTGTTTCCTCCGAACTCTTATCAACTGGACATGAGCCTCTATAGAGTACAAACGCCAGTTCCCAGAAATGGCTTTAAAACCTTTCAAGCCAGAAGGAATGGTGGTATAAAGCATTTGGTCTAAAATATGTTGACCGTCAATGGCTACTCCCCCTTCGGAGAGGTGGGGGATGGAATTTTACCAGCTCACATTGGAACTCTAAAAATGTCATTGACTCATCCACCTAAA